TCATTCACTGTCTATTTCAGAGCCTGGTGGGAGGGCGCTTCCTGGCCCTTTGGGTGTGGTTTCCTTGTTCCTCTACGATGTGTGTGTCCTTCCATGTTCCCAGCATCTATTTTCTAGTGAAAACAAGGACCCAGGACCTCTAGACCTCACTCACTTGTCATGTGATGATTCTTTGTGATTTCTCTATTTGGCAGGGGGAAAGAAAAGGTCTTGTTTTCCTGGGAGTATAAATCACAGAGTAAATGCTGCAAAGCTGGAAGGCCTTAGTGCAGATCCCACAGTCTTCAAGAGCTGTCTGGCCAGACATGTCCAGGCCAGGGGAAGGATTAGAATGAGAGAGCCCTCAGTTTGTTCAGGCGCTGAAGGTTCTGTTTGTTTTGTAGAGATCCTGGACTTTGGCTACCCCCAGAATTCAGAGACGGGTGCACTGAAAACCTTCATCACCCAACAAGGCATCAAGAGTCAGGTACTTGAATTTTACAGGCCATAGGCAGAGTGGAGCCCACCCTCCCTTCATCCCAGCGGGTCCCTAGCCTTGTCCAAGGGGACTCATGAGCCCGCCCTTCACAGGAAGTGCTGGCCTGAGCCTCCTGCCGGGACTGCAGGTCCATTCTCCCTGTGTGGCCCTCCCACCCCAGGAGCAGCCGATTCAGCATCTCTTACTGGGATTATAGTTTAGGCAGTTTCCTCTACACAGGCACAGGGGGTGTGGTCTGCTCTGCCTGTTGCTCAGGAGAAGAGCTCTTGGGCCCTCCTTTATGATCCAAGCCTCACGGCCTTCTCCTTTTCTGCCTCCCCTGCTGTCTCCTGTGGGAACCTCACTGGTCCTTGGGTCTCCAGCATCAGGTAAGTTGTTCTCTTTGCTTCTGCCCTTGTGGCTTCACTCTGTTTTCTCCAGGCCCTGTACCTTGGGGCCTGAGGGGAAGGAGAGGCCACTGGTGAGGACTAGAAAGGAGAGAGGAGAGGGTGGAGTGGGAGAGACAGGATTGAGGGCAGAAAAGTGAAACCATTGCTGTTTGTCTCCACCCCCCATGTAGACAAAAGAAGAGCAGTCCCAGATCACCAGCCAGGTGACCGGGCAGATTGGCTGGCGGCGGGAGGGCATCAAGTATCGCCGAAATGAGCTCTTCCTGGACGTGCTGGAGAGCGTGAACCTGCTCATGTCCCCACAGGGTGAGGGCCCTCTCCTGAAGCTGGAGCGGGGACAGGGAGAACCCTGGCCTGCATGCTTACCCCAGCTGCGTCCTGTTCATCTGTTCTATCACCAGGGCAGGTGCTGAGTGCCCACGTGTCAGGCCGGGTTGTAATGAAGAGCTACCTAAGCGGCATGCCTGAGTGCAAGTTCGGGATGAACGACAAGATCGTCATTGAAAAGCAGGGCAAAGGCACAGCTGATGAAACGAGCAAGAGGTGCCTGACGCAGGGGAGCTGGAAGGAAAGCGTGGGTGGGCCTTGCAGTGTTCACTGGGGCTGGTGAACCCCAGGTTCCTTCGGGACTTGATTTCCACTATAACTGCAGATCCTTTTTCCAAGCGTGTGCTTGGCTGGTTGCGCTTGATATCAGCGATGAGAGGGATCGAGGGGGTTGTTGTTAGGTTACTGCCCTCAGAGAGCAAACTTCACTGTTTGGTCCCAAGGACCACAACCTCGTCTGTACATACTGACGGCCTTGGGAGTACCATGCCGCTTGAAACTCAGGAAATGATGAGCTATTATAAAGCTCCCTCACCTTGAACTCTGGGGCAGGGATCTCCAAGATAGACAGCTGCCTTCTGGCAGCTTTCCATAGCCCACAGTGCCAGCTTGGCCCGGGGCGGTCCCCCAGCTTGACGCCTGCCTTTCTCGTACTGACCAAGCGCGGTGGTCTGCTTCTGCCCACAGCGGGAAGCAATCAATTGCCATTGATGACTGCACCTTCCACCAGTGTGTGCGACTCAGCAAGTTCGACTCGGAGCGCAGCATCAGCTTTATCCCACCAGATGGAGAGTTTGAGCTAATGAGGTGCCAAGGGGCTTGAGGGGGCAGGGGTGCTGCTGGCAGGGGGCACGGAGAGGGAGTGCGACCCGCTCAGTGTTGCCAACCTTGCCTTCCACCCCTGAAGGTATCGCACCACCAAGGACATCATCCTTCCTTTCCGGGTGATCCCACTCGTGCGGGAAGTAGGACGCACCAAACTGGAGGTCAAGGTAGTGATCAAGTCCAACTTCAAGCCCTCACTGCTGGCCCAGAAGATTGAGGTGAGGATGACGGGTTTGGGGAGGAAGAAGAATTTGTCTCCAAGAATAAAGGCGGCTGTGTCAGCCTGGACAGCTCCTGTGTATCACTCCTAGGTAAGGATCCCGACCCCACTGAACACAAGTGGAGTGCAGGTGATCTGCATGAAGGGGAAGGCCAAGTACAAGGCCAGCGAGAACGCCATTGTGTGGAAGTGAGTCTTCCCTTTAGGGGGCCATGGCAGGGCTCACAGTGTACCGCCTTCACCTATTCTCCCCTAGTGTGGGTTGGAGGGCAGGAGGTGTGTGCCCCTGCTTCTGTGTCAGCCTTCACGTGTGTGCACACGCGCACCTGCACTGGGGCTCACACATGCATCCTTGTAATAAATCTGTGAAGCAGACAAAGGGCAAGATATAGCTTATCCATCTACCTAAGCAGAAACTGCGGCCCGAAATACCAAAGGAGTAGTAACACACCCAAGGTTCCATAGCAGTTGGTTTTCAGGGTCCTGGCCAATTTTCCCTGTGCTAGCCACTTCCCTTAAGCGTCTGGGTTCTCTCCCTGCTTGAAATGGGCACTCCCTCCCCCACCCCACCCCGAAATTCCTCCCAGCTTCCACAGGCACCCCTGCTGCCCATTGCCTGTCTTTGCAGGATCAAGCGCATGGCAGGCATGAAGGAATCGCAGATCAGTGCAGAAATTGAGCTTTTGCCCACTAATGACAAGAAGAAATGGGCTCGACCCCCCATTTCCATGAACTTTGAGGTACGGCAGAAGAGGGACTTAGCACCAGTGCAGGGTATGCCGGGAAGGATCTGAGAGAGCACTCAGATCAGCTGTGTACTTAGAGACCAGGAAACCAAGGCCTAGACTAGGGATCTAATTCATAGACCCATTTCTTTTTCCTTCAAGCGTCTTAGGAGAAGTTACTGGTCACCTTAGAAACGCTTTGACTTTTCTTGGCTTGCCACAAAACAGTTCTTTGGAAAAATTTAGATTGAATGCCAGGTAAGATAGCAAGTTTCCTTACAGACAGGACGGTGAACTGACTTTGCCTTGTGCATTAAGACATATAATTTTCTCTACCTTATTTTTCAAGTCCATAATATTGAGCAGGATAAGTATGTTCTAAGGCAGTTCTCTAGTTGCTGCATCCTGCTGATTAAAGGAGTTGATTCAAATTATCACAGGCAGGCCTGACTTCAAACCCCAGATGATTACTAGTTACTCTTGGATATGCTTGCTTGCTCCTTTAGTAACATTTTAGAGGGCTCCCCACCACCCCGACCAGCCCTGCCGGCATCCCCAGCTTCTTTCAGGACCCTAGCTATCCAGACATGTGTAGTAGGTTGAGGTAGGGCAGAGCTGTAGAACTTCCCAGTGCCAGAGGAGAGCCGCTGTGAGAGGGTCACATCCCTAACTGGACCTGTCCCCTGCCCAGGTGCCATTCGCGCCTTCTGGCCTCAAGGTGCGCTACTTGAAGGTGTTTGAACCGAAGCTGAACTACAGCGACCATGATGTCATCAAATGGGTGCGCTACATTGGCCGCAGCGGCATTTATGAAACCCGCTGCTAGCTGCCTAATGACGGCTAGCCACCTCCCACCCCGCCTCTTCCATGGGTCTGGGTGCCCCTGGGTCACCATGCATCAGTGTCTCCTCCCTCCTGCTTTGCTGCCTTCCCTTTGCACCAGCCCCCGAGTCTAGGTCTGGACCAACCACATCATAAGCGGGACTGGCAGAGCCGTCCCTGGGCTCCTCGGGCAGGGCGGTTGCTGGGGCTCCTGCTCTTCCGTCCATCTGTCTGTCCTGGCCCAGTGCCAGGCTCTGAGTTCTGTGACCAAAGCCAGGTGGGCCTCCTCTCCTCCCCACCCCTGTGGCCACACCTCTGGAGTGGGAGGGTTGGCTGCCTCTCACCTCAGAGCCCCCCAAAGGCCAGTAACGGATCCCCAGTCCTCAGTCCCTACTCTGCTTTGGGATAGTGTGAGCTTCATTTTGTACACGTGTGACTTCGTCCAGTTATAAACCCAATAAACTCGGTAGAGTGGAGTTGTCAGCTAAGTGTCCATGTGGGAGCTTCGGGGGCAGGGAACTAATGGGGTGGCTTTCCTGAACTTTCTTAAGGAGCCTGCTTGTTTTTTCTTTTTTGGTACCGCGAATCGAACTCAGGACCTTGCCCTTGCCAGGCAGGTGCTTATGCCACTCAGCTATATCCCCAGCTAAGGAGCCTGCTTGAAGTAGGATTTTCCATCATGAGTGCTGTCGAAGCAGAAGTAGAATAGCATAATGAACCCCAGGTCCTATCATCCACCTTCAGCAGTTACCACCTTAAGGCTAGTTCCTTAACATCATATCCAATGTATGTTCCCTTAATTCAGAAATCGTACAAAGTTCTCTACAACCTGTGTCCAAATAGGATCCATTGTGAGTGGTTAATATATTTTAACAACTAATACCTTTCTCCTCAGCTCTTAAAATTTTGTTCCTAGAGTTTTATAGTTTCCCAATCAGAATTTGCCTGTTGCTTCCCTCTGAGGTCACTTAACACCATCCTCTTTACCTGTATTTCCTGCAAAATGGTTATTAGATGTAGAGGGTCAATAGGTTTTTAAACTTTAAATATCAGGAGCTGGGTGTGCTGGTGCACGTCTGTAATCCCAGCACTCAGGGGGCTGAGGCACCACGATCACAGTTCCAGGCTAGCCTGAACTACATAGCAAGACCTTGTGTCCAAAAAAAAAAAAAAAAAAATCACAAATATCAGGACTGGTCCTTGCTGTGGTAATGCTTAGTTCAAAAGGATGAGTGGATATTAATGTAATTTTAGATGGCAGTTTTAGAGCCAATTGGAAGGACAGTCATGTAGTACATAAAGCAGTAGCATTTATCGAGGAAAGGCTTTTAACTGACACAGGAATTCAGGATGCAGAGAAGTAGCTTTAGGGATAGAGTACATGTAGGCCAAGTTGTCTATCTGGGTTTGTGGCCTTGGGCAGTGGGAGAGCTTGTGTCCTGCGGGGGTGGAAGACCCGAGTGGCCTTAACGGCTCTGGCTGGCTGGCTGGCTGGCTGTCATGAACTGTGAAAGGACCGCCCAGTTGGTGCGGGGTAGGGGCTGAGACCAGAACAAAACCAGCGGAAGCACAGGGCTGAGCCCAGGGCTTCTGAGCCGGGGCTGCGGTGAGTCAGCACAGCGCTCTGACGGCTGCAAAACGGGCCTGGCTGGGCGTGCAGTAGCAGACGCGCCTGGAGGGAACGTATAAAACCTAGCAAAGCCAATGTGCTTTATCAGCCGCCAGTCTTTAGAATGGCTCCCACCCGCGGGACCACTAAGGCTTCGAGTCCTGATAAACCTCGAGTACCCTCTCCCCGCCCGCTTTGCCTCGGGATCTCCACCTCCCAGGAGGCACTGAGAACCGGGCGTGTGGCTCAGCTCTTCTTGGAACAGGCGTGGCGCAGGCGCAGAAGGAGCAGCTCCGGCTGGACTGACCGGCGCTTGCGCAGAGCTCGGCCAACCGCGTTCGCCCCGCCCAGCGGGTTCCGCGCTTTTCTTACGTCATCGGTACGCATGCGCCTTGGAAGGAGGGGCGAGCGTCGCGGCGGGGAGCAGGGGGCGGGTCTCGGCCGACGTTTCACGGCGACTGCGCGGACGGAGTCCTGAGTGGAACATGGCGACTTGCGCTGAAATCCTGCGGAGCGAGTTCCCCGAAATTGACGGACAGGTCTTCGACTACGTGACCGGTGAGCCGAACCGAATCAGTAGGCTGCAGAGGCCGAAGTGGAGGTCGGGGGGGAGATTCGGCGAGGGCGGTGCTGGGACCGCTGCCGGGCGTCTCTTCTCCGTGACCTCTTGTCCTGAGGGGCGGTTGCGTCTGGAGCCCGGGCCGGGGCCGGGGCCGGGGCCGCGGCTCGGGCGCTGAAAGTGCTTGTGTGTCCGCCCTACCCGGTGCCTTCCTCGTCCTGCCACGCCCGGCCCAGGCGTCTTGCACAGCGGCAGCGGGGACTTCGAGTCTGTGGATGACCTGGTGGACGCTGTGGGCGAACTGTTGCAGGAGGTGTCCGGGGACAGCAAGGATGACGCGGGCATCAGGGCCGTGTGCCAGCGCATGTACAACACCCTGCGCCTGTACGTGCCGGGGGCGGGGCGGGGCGGGGGGCGCGAAGGGTGCGAACGCGGGGTGGGGGCGAAAGTCTGACGATCGGAGTTTTTCCCCGGGTCCTAAGTGCGCCTTCTGTCCCTACCCACGTAGGGCGGAACCACAGAGCCAGGGACACAGCCAGGTGCTTCTGGACGCCCCCATCCAGTTGTCAAAGATAGCGGAGAGCTATGGTAAGGGTGAGCGGAGACCGAGCTAGCTGCGCTGTGTGCTCTGCTCGGCCTCCGCCGTCTCCCTGCCCCTGCAGCGCGGGACAGGCTGTCGGAGCCGAGGGATGTGCTCGTGAGAGCGGAAGAGCCTGTGATGCAGCGAGGAAGGGCGGAGGGGTTTTCAGATTATTGGAGTATTGGGGAAGGAAGCGCAGGGGGCTTTGAGGAGGCAGGCTTGGCTTAACGCCCCACCCCCCCAGCCCCGAATGCACAGCTTCAGAGAGCTGGTTATGTGCCTCAGCTTCTGTATCTTTATATGTGAACAGCCTTTTTGTTTCGGTTTTACTTGGGGATTAGAGTCCCCAGGATTGTAACATTTTCTTTAAAATGTTTCTCTGTGTGGCTGTTTCTTAATGGTCAAAATACTAGTTTCCTTTTCCTCGGGTAGAAGGTGACTGCCTTTTTTCTAATCACTTGCAGACTGTGACCTGAAACTTCCCGGACCACTAAAGAGGGAACAGTCCTCGGTGAGGAGAAGGGGGAGCGGGAGGGGGAGATATCTTCGGGGCGTCAAACTGTGAAGCATCTTTGGGGAGGAGGGGGTTGCTGGTTGTGTCTTTCCCTGAACTTTTGAACCTGTTTGGCGTGGGTAAGTGGTGAGAGTTTAGCTGTTTTCTCGGAGCCTACAGAGTAAAATGGATTGTGTTTGGAATTCGCTTAGACAGTGAATGCAAAGAAGCTAGAGAAGGCCGAGGCTCGACTGAAAGCCAAACAAGAGAAGCGCTCAGAGAAGGACATGCAGAAGACCAGCACCGCTCTGTGAGTTCAGGAAAAAGGGCCCAGAAGAGAGCAGAGCAGTCGCTGCCAGGAGAGAAGGCTGTAGGAGCCCTGAAATGTGTCTATTTCTCCCCTTAAGAGTCCTGGAGGAGGCATCAGCCAGCCAGGCCGGCAGTAGAAAGGAGAGTCGGTTGGAATCATCTGGCAAGAACAAGTCCTATGATGTGCGAATTGAGAACTTTGACGTGTCTTTTGGTGATAGGTGAGGGAATACCATGGGCGGGGCTTTCTTTTTCCAGTTAAGGGAGAATTTTGAGTGATAAAATGGGGCTAAAACCAATGTCAGCGCTCTGTGTGTGTGTGTGTGTGTGTGTGTGTGTGTGTGTGTGTGTGTGTCTTTTTGAGACAGGGTCTCGCTATGCAGTTCAGACTGGGCTTGAGCTTGCTTTGTAGCCCAGGCTGGTCTCAAACTCACATTCTCTCCCTCAGCCTCCTGAGTGCCGGGATTACAGGCGTGCGCCACCACGCCCAGCAGTATCTTTTGTTAAGTGTGCTCTGATGCCTTTTTTAGCAGTCCCTTGGTCTCCTTTCTGCCACTCCTGCAGGGTACTGCTGGCTGGAGCAGATGTGAACTTGGCGTGGGGCCGCCGCTATGGGCTGGTAGGACGGAACGGGCTAGGGAAGACAACGCTGCTGAAGATGCTGGCCACCCGGAGCCTGCGGGTTCCAGCCCACATCTCCCTGCTGCATGTAGAGCAGGAGGTCGCTGGGGATGACACGCCTGCCCTGCAGAGTGTGCTGGAGAGTGACAGCGTGCGAGAGGACCTGCTGCAGCGGGAGCGGAAACTCAGTGCCCAGATTGCTGCGGGCAGGTCCGGGCTCCGGGCTCCGGGCTCCGGGCTTCTGGGTGGGGAATACCTAGCGGTGTCCTTCACAGAGTGGCCGTCACGCTGTCACAGCCCGTGATTCACATGGCCATCCTAGTAATCAGCTCCTCCCGGCTCCTTTGGGCAAGTCCTTCCTGTGTTCTATTCCTGTCCTGGCAACGAGCAGCCCGTGGGCTGCTTTCCACTGGTATAGGGTGCAGGACATTCTCCTGGATGGCCCTAGCTTAGCCTGGTTACTGTTTCTCCTTCCCAGGGCAGAGGGCTCAGAAGCAGCACAGCTGGCTGAAATCTATGCCAAGTTGGAGGAGATTGAGGCTGACAAGGCACCTGCCAGGTATTTCAGATTACCCCTGTCTTTATGGTGTTTCCCCTTTTCCATCCTATAAACTGTTCCAACTGGATCCTTCAATTCTTCACGCCTAGGGCATCGGTCATTCTTGCTGGGCTTGGCTTTACCCCTAAAATGCAGCAGCAGCCCACCCGGTGAGTTGCCCTTGTGAATCTGGGCTCTGAACATTGCTGACTCTGCTCTGGCTTGCCCCAGTGAACACCCACCCCTAATGTTATCTGCCTGTCTGTCTGTAGGGAGTTCTCAGGTGGCTGGAGGATGAGATTGGCATTGGCCCGAGCCCTGTTTGCTAGGTGAGTCTCCTGGGCCTATGTCGGGAGCCCTGTGGAGGGTAGGCCTTGGACCGTGACAAGGAGCCACTGGCCTAAAACCCATGCTGTGTGTTCCTTTTTGTAGGCCAGACCTTCTGCTGTTGGATGGTGAGTTTGAAATGGGGCACCTTGGCTCTCAGGTGGGGAGGGCTGATAGCGTCCTTGTTCCTAGTTCACCAGCTCTTCAAACGTGTGCGTCCCTGTGTCCTCCAGAACCCACAAACATGCTGGATGTCAGGGCCATCCTGTGGCTGGAGAATTACCTACAGGTGAGTTCTAGAAAAGGCTTTGGGGTTTGGGGAAAGTCAGCTTCCAAGATCCATGGGGGTCTGGGAGATGACTCCCATCCTGTGACCCCTCAGACATGGCCCTCCACAATCCTAGTCGTCTCTCACGACCGCAACTTCCTGAATGCCATCGCCACAGACATCATCCACCTGCACAGCCAGCGGCTAGACGGCTACCGGGGAGACTTCGAGGCCTTCATCAAGAGCAAGCAGGAGCGGCTGCTCAATCAGCAGCGAGAGTATGAGGCACAGCAGCAGTATCGCCAGCACATCCAGGTGTGGGGGCAGCAGGGCTGTGGGGCCCGTCCGAGGGTGTCAGGGCTCGGGGTTGCGGGAGCCTGACCAGCGTCTGCCCTCCTCCCACAGGTTTTCATTGACCGCTTTCGCTACAATGCCAACAGGGCCTCTCAGGTGCAGAGTAAACTCAAGATGCTGGAGAAGCTGTGAGTAGAGCGGCCTTGACCAGGCTCTGACTCCTCCTGTTCTCTTCATGTCTTCCTCCTTTTCTTTTCTTTTCTTTTTTTATTGGTGGTACTGGGGACTGAACCCAAGGTCTTCGCACTGAGCTATATCCCCAGCCCTTTTTTTAAATTTTGAGACAGGATCTCACTAAATTGCCCAGGCTGAGCTCGAACTTGTGATCCTCCTGCCTCTGCTTCCCAGAGTGCTGGGATTATGAGTGTGCACCACCGCACCAGCCATTTCTTCCTTCATATTGCCCCCGCCCCCATTCCAGGTCTCCTCCTGGCCAGCCTCCTACTTTGATGCCCTCTGCGTCCTCGGAAAGCAGAATATTTTGCACTATTCCTGGAGGGTTAACCCTGTCTAGGCAATCACTAGTCTGCTTTTTGTCTGTGTATTTGCTTATTGTGGACTTTTCATCAAAGTGAAATCATCACTGTGGGATCTTTGGTGTCTGGCTTCTTTTATCGGGTGTTCTCCAGGATCATCCTTGTGGCGCACATGAGTACTTCATTGTGTGTGTGCCTGAGCGCGTTCTGACGTGTGGCTGTATGTTTAGTTTATTAAGTCATTAGGTGATGAGCCTGGGTTGTCCCCATTTTAGTTTCAAAAAATGTTCTTGCTGGGCATAGTGGCATACACCTGTAATCCCAGCACTCAGGAAGCTGAGGCAAGAGGATTGCCTTGAGTTTAAGGCCAGCCTGAGTTACAAAGCTAGACCTTGTCTCAAGCTACTTGTGTACAAGTTTTTGGGTGGCCGTATGTTTCCATTTCACCTGGGTGTGTACTTAAGAGAGGATTTGCTGGTAGAAGTAGAAATTTCCCGTTGAACTTTTTGAGGCTCTGCCAGACTTTAAAGGCACTATTTTTACATTCCTCTGGATATTGTAGGCAGTTGTTATTTTCCCACGTCTTTGCCACTACTAGGTCTTAATGCTTTATCCAAAGTTTTAGCCATCCTGTCTGTTTGGCTGTAAAGTGGTCACAGTGAGGGGGGTTTTTTGTTTGTTTGTTTTTTTGTCTTTTTGAGACAGGGTCTCACTATGCGGTTCAGGCTGGCCTTGAGCTCACTTTGTAGCCCAGGCTGGTCTTAAACTCACAACGATCCTCTTGCCTCAGCCTCCCGAGTGCTGGGATTACAGGCGTGTGCCATCACGCCCGGCGTTCGTTTGTTTTTGAGACAGGGACTTGCTATGTAGTCTAGGGTGGCCTTGAACTCGTGAAACACAGACTGACCCTCACCTCATTCAGTCCTCCTGCCTCAGCCTGCCGAGTCCTGGGATTACAGACTTGTGCCACCATGTCCAGCTCACATGGAGGTTTTGTGGTTTTGAGTAGCATTCCCTTAATGGCTAATGATATTGACATTGGGGGTTTAATCTTGAAGCAGCCCCTGAGTTCTGGGAGGGACATTAACTTTAATTGGTTTAGAACTCTGGCATGGGGCCGGGGATATAGCTCAGTGGCACAAGTGCCTGCCTGGCAAGCACAAGGTCCTGAGTTCGATTCCCAGTACCCAAAAAAAAAAAGAACTCTGACATGGGAACGGCGTAGTTTATTAGGTAAAGATGAAAAGCCACACAGAGGGCTGGGGATGGAGCTCAGCAGGAGACTGCCTGCCTGTCATTCTCGAGGACGTGGTCTCCACCCCAGTACTGCAAAAATAAATGAGTAAAAGTTTTTTAAAAGCCACAAGAAAGGTAACTTTTTCAGCAGGTAGTGAACTGAAACAGTGGGCTCTTAGGGTAATGTTAACAAGGTAGGAGGAGCACAAGCTTTTTCTGAGTTTGCTTGTTGAGCTTATATTACTTGTACAAGAGAGTTTTAAGTTTTTTCATTCTTTTTTGGGAGGCTGGGGACGGGAACCCAGGGCCTCACATATGGTAGACAAGGGCATCTGTCACTGAGCACCGCCCAGCCATCGTATTTTTTTGAAGTCATAAATCTAGTCTGCCTCATCTCTCCCCACAGACCAGAGCTGAAGCCGGTGGACAAGGAGTCGGAGGTGGTGATGAGGTAAGTGCTGAGCCGGGGGCTGTGGGGCGGCTCTTGTCACTGGCCACCCCCATACTCACCGAGCCTCCCACAGGTTCCCGGACGGGTTTGAGAAGTTCTCACCGCCAGTTCTGCAGCTGGATGAGGTGGACTTCTACTATGACCCTAAGCACATCATCTTCAGTGGCCTGTCCGTCTCTGCCGATCTGGAGTCTCGCATATGTGTGGTACGGCTGCTGTGTCGCTTTCCCTGGGTGTGGTTAGGGCTGATGCTGGGGCCGCAGGGGGAGAGGGGCACAGGACCATGAGTCGGGTCGGAGGAGGGACAGTGCTGTCCTCACACTGCCCCTGCCTGTCCTATGAGGACCCCTGTCATAGGTGAGCAGGCCGGCATGGGTGCTTTATAAGCACTAGAGCAGCACTTCATCTACTGGGCTCAGTCCTGAGTTATTTCGACTAGCAGACATTGAGGCAGGAGCCTGGGTTGCAGGGTGAGACCTCAGGTCCTGGCTATACTGTCCCTTGGCTGCAGGGTTACGAAGCACTTTCCTCTTCCTTAAAAGGGAGGAAACAGCTACCCTACGTGGTTATGGGTAGAAGTCACTTGGCAGGTATCAGCCTTTGGTCCCTGGGGTGTGTCCGGCTCACTTACACACGCAGCTGCTAGGACTCTTTTCTCGTCGGGGTCCTTGGGCCAACCCCAGACGCTCTCCTCCTTCCCTCTGCCCTCCACACGCCCGAGCCCCTCACTGCTTGCGCTGCTTGCAGGTCGGGGAGAACGGGGCCGGGAAGTCCACCATGCTGAAGCTGCTCCTGGGGGACCTGGCGCCCGTCCGCGGCATCAGGCACGCGCACCGGTAAGGTATCCACGCCGCCCGCTAACCCGAGCCCGCACTTACGCGGCCCTCCTGCCTTCACCTCTTCCACCTCCTCCCGCCTGCAGGAACCTCAAGATTGGCTACTTCAGCCAGCACCACGTGGAGCAGCTGGACCTGAGCGTCAGCGCGGTGGAGCTGCTGGCGCGCAAGTTCCCAGGTGCGGGAGGCAGCAGCCTGTGTGAGGCCCGCTGACCAGCAGCGGGGCCTCCCGGGGTGGGGGAGCGGCCCCCAGGGCTGAGCCCGTTGGTCGGGCTGGGGGGCGGGGTGGGGGCACAGCCCATGCTGGGGCCTTTGCAGGGCGGCCAGAGGAGGAGTATCGCCACCAGCTGGGCCGGTACGGTGTCTCCGGGGAGCTGGCCATGCGCCCTGTCGCCAGCTTATCTGGAGGCCAGAAGAGTCGGGTGGCCTTCGCTCAGATGACCATGCCCTGGTGAGTCCCCGTCTTCTAGAGCGCCCCTGTTTCCCTGTCATCTTTATATCAGAGCTTCATGTCCTTCTGCGCCCCTCCTATAAATGCCCACCACCTGCTTTCCAGCCCCAACTTCTACATCCTGGATGAGCCCACAAACCACCTGGACATGGAGACCATTGAGGCTCTGGGCCGCGCGCTCAACAGTTTCCGGGTGAGTGCGCCCGCGCCTGCTCTGCCCTTGCCCGCCTTGCCGCCTGTGGGCCCACTGAACCCCGCTCTCCTGTCTCAGGGAGGCGTGATCCTGGTGTCCCACGACGAGCGCTTCATCCGCCTGGTGTGCCGGGAGCTGTGGGTGTGCGAAGGAGGCAGCGTCACCCGGGTCGAGGGGGGCTTTGAGCAATACCGTGCCCTCCTGCAGGAGCAGTTCCTCCGGGAGGGCTTCCTCTAGACCACCTGCTGGGCCAGGCTGGCCAGGAGCTCAGTGCCCACGACGTGGACGCATTACCAGACCCCGGACCCCCGTGTAGGCCCAGCCCCGGGCCTCCGCCTCCCCCGATTTGGGGACAGCCTCATGCCCGAGCCTTTCTCCTTGTTCTGACTGGAGCGTCCAGTGCACAGTTGGGGTCCCATCTGAGGGTCTGCGAGGACTGTGTCGGGGAAGGGACCGCAGGGATCCTCGGGGGTTTTGGACTGCACCCGGCCCACTGGGCCCACGAGGCTGCTGTGTAAATTAAACCGCTGCGTCCCCTGCTGCTCTCCCTAGCCCTGCCGGCTTTGGCTGCCCACTGCTGAGACGTGGGGTGGCGTCTCCCTGCTCCCTGCTGCTCTGGACTCCTCCGTGCTGGGCCTGGGGCACAGGGGCCCTTGGTTGTGATGGGCGGAGCCTGGGTGGGGGCAGTGCCACTGCGCCGCTTAACCCAGCCTGGACTTGACCTGGGCCAGTAGGCGAACGGGGGGAGCGCTCAGTGGTGCAAACAGCCTGCTGCAGCCTGAATGGCCACCACTGCCTTAGGCTGACGAGGGCGAGCTCCGCTGTCTCAGCCCATGCTGCTTCCAAGCTTGAACTGATTGTGGGGTTTGGCCTCGTACCCAGTTGCCCATTTTCTCCAGGGGTCTATGGCCCAGACTCTCCCTGCTTTTCTCTGGACTCTCAGGGCTCAAGAGAGATGTTTTCCTGTTTTGCTTGAATGGTTTCATGTTTACGTTCCCTTTAAGCACGGAGGTCAGGGAAGTGGGAATTGAGAACAGTGCAATGAGAAGAAACAAGACACTTTGCTTTCAGATTAAGCAACCATAAAAGAGAGAGAGCCAGGAGCAGTGGCACACGCGTGTAGTCCCGCGTATAGTTCCAGCTGCTTGGGAGGCTGAAGCAGGGTGTTTGCTTGAGCCCAGGAATTTGGGGCCAGCCTGGACAACACAAGTGAGACCCTGTCTCAAAAAAAAAACGCCAGAAAATGGTGATGTGAAACCCTGATTTATAATGTGAGCTATATGTCTCACACAGAAAGTACTAAAGTAGAGACTTTCCCGTGTGGCAGTGGAGGAACCAAAGGCAGCAGCAGCACCTTGCCAGCTGCTTGGAGATTGTAGCCACAGCTCAACTGAGGAACCTCCCCTCTGAGCTGCTGAGGAGAAGAGCCTGTTCACAGGTGACAGAGTATAAAGATGAAGGCCCTACTGCCCACAGAACAGGTGTGGGGGCTGGCAGCAGCAGGAGGGCTGCCGATGCACCTGCCCTTCGGCCTCCCTCTCAGCCCAGAGGAGGTGCTGCTCTGGACCTGTCTGTGTCCACAACCCTCAGCAGTGTGAGCGCGCTCAGCCTGGTCCCTCCGCTGTAGGCTCTGTGCCTGTCTGCGCTCATGGACCCTTACAGAAGTTCTCCCACGCCCTTGGTCCTTGGAGGGCTTTGGTGACAGAATCTGGCTTTGTACATCAGGAACGTTGGAGTTGGGTGTAAAAGAAACTCTTAGCTCTTTTTTTTTCTCCTTTTTTTTTTTTTTTTGTTATCGGAAATTGAATTCAGGCTTTGCTTGTGCTTGCGAGGCAGGTGCTGTGATGCTGAGTTACATCCCTGGACCTCTTAGCTCTTCTTGGTATTAGCGGGGGCCACCAACAGAGCTGGGGTCGCCACTGCATACCATTTACTCTTTTTTTTTTTTTTTTCGGTTTTTCTCCGGTACCAGGAACCGAACTCACGACCTTGCGCTTGCCAGGCAAGCGCTTTTGCCGCTGAGCTAAATCCCCAGCCCCCATACCATTTACTCTTGCTGAACACCTCATTTTTTGTTTGTGGCAGAACTATACCCCCAGCCCTTTGTTTTTCAGAGGGTCTCACTATGTGAGTTTGGCCTCCAGTCTGCAGTGATCCTCCTGCCTCAGCCTCCTAAGGGATGAGATTACATACCTGCATCACCACCCCCTGCTCCTCCTCAGTTTCTTTGTGGGACTGTTGTGAGGATTTGCTGTCAAAGCACGGGATACTAAGCATTCAGAAAGTGACTCCTAGGGGAACCATCTGTGGCTTAAAGAGCCATGAACGGTAAAAGCAGATTTTCCTGGGTAACCTAGGTGAAAGACTCCTGAGAGCCTCCCCTCACAGAAGCTGCGGCCCCTCCCCCTGTAACACATCCTGGGATACAAGGCAGCATCTGATGGCCTTCAGGTCCAGTGTGGCCTGCCTCAGCCTTCTGGGGTCTTGGGTTTCTAGGCGTGTGCCACCATGCCTGGCTCAGGAAGGTTAATTTAAAAAGCAGATTGACATTGAAGGAGACAGAGTAGAGGCAGAGTCGGTTACAAAACTTCAGCCTTACAGAGTGGCAGAGACTGCAGGGCTGTCCCAGCCCCATGAGTGGGGCCAATGAGCTCCCCTGGGCCTGGCCTACTGCTCAGCTTTCCTCTGCTCAGCCCTGTTTCCAGGTGCTACACGCTGACCTCTGCAGGCTATCCCCAGAGGGACACAGCCTTGACCAGGCATGAAAGAGAGAGACAAGCCGGTCTGACTTCCGGGGTAGCAAAGCAGGAAATACAGTCTTGTTTCTGGAGTGCTGAGGATTGGACCTAAGGCCTCACAGGCTAGGCAAGTATCCTACCTCTGAGTTATATCCCCAGCCCTTTAAAATCATAGTTGAGACAGGATCTCAGTAAGTTACCTAGGCTGGCCTCAAACTTGAGATCCTCCTGCCTCAGCTTCCTAAATTAAGATTACAGGTGTGGCTGGGCATGGTGGCACACGCCCGTAATCCCAGCACTCGGGGAGGTGCAGGCAGAAGGATCCTTTCAAGTTTGAGTGCGAGACCAGCCTGGGCTACAAAGTGAGCTCAAAGCCAGCCTGAACTGCGTAGTGAGACCCTGTCTCAAAAAGACAAAAAAAAAAAAAAAAGATTACGGGTGTGTACCATCGTGCCTGGCAGGAACTGTAATCTCAGAGATGCCCTGCACCTCACAGTGGGGCAGAAAAGGTGGAATGGAAGCTCAGCTGGGGTCACAGAGGGACGTCCTCCCTGATGCCCTTAGGCTGTGAAAGCCATGGCAGCCTGCACGCCCTCCCTGGCTGTTGGGAGCCGACCCCCAGGCCTGTCGAGAGCTGGGCTGTGCCGGGCACAGCAGCCTGGGGAGCAGTAACGCCAGGGTGTCCTGGCATGGCTCACAGGAACACCAGGGATGAGAGCACATGTGCTGGGCACCTTCCCGACCGATGGTAGCGACCCAGGGCTCCTTGGCCTGGCTGCAGCCCTGAAGGTGCCTGGGAAGTTGCGCGGGCCGGCAGAGGGCGGCCAGGGCTACGAGAAGCCACGGCGGAAGAGGCCGTGCCCCGGCAGCTCCTGATTGGCCCAGCGGCCTCCGTCAGCAGCTGCAAAACTGCCTCCCAGCTGCGGCTGACAGCCACCCGGAACCACTTTCGCCCCTGGTTGCTGGGCTGCGGGGCCCTTTCCCCATCCCTCAACACAGCCCTTTCCTGCCGGCCTCATCTCCAAAAGCCAGGTCTCTGTTAGCTGCTCCAGCTCATCCATCCCAGTTTCTTGAAGGCCTGCAGGAGAGGCCTGCACTGCCACACTCGCAGGTGCTTTATCTCTTCTTCCATGGAGCTGCAAAACGAAGTGAACCTGCTTTGGGTTTTTTTTTTTTTGACGGTCTCACTATACAGTTCAGGCTGGCCTTGAACTCACTCCGTAGCTCAGGCTGGCCCCGAACTCACGGCGATCCTCCTGCCTCAGCCTCCTGAGTGCTGGGATTGCAGGTGCGTGCCCCCACGCCACCTAATCCCCATGTTTACAGAAGAGGAAATGCAGGCATTTGACGTGGCGGATTGGGGTTCAAGGCCACTGGTACAGCTCTAGAGCGTGGCTCTTCACCACCACGCGGGGCTGTGTTTCCATGCAGCCGTTCTGTGCTGAGTAGCTGTAGCTGGTGGCCCTCTTCAGCCTCACGGTGAGCTGCGTGGACGGGAACTGGGGAGCAGAAATCCCTGGCACAACGGCTGACACGTGCCAGGCACCCAGTGAGTAAATGGTGCGGAATTCCTGATTGCTAGGATTAGCCTAGTTGATGGTCTTGGGCAAGTCTACCTTTCCTCAGTAAACTACCTGCATCCATGAAATAGAGGTTGTCTTCTTTTATTCTTTCTTTTTTTTTTTTTTCTTTCCTTTTTTAGAAAGTATCTTGCTGGGCATGGTGGTGCACACCTGTAATCCCAGCACTTGGGAGGCTGAGGCAGGAGGATCATTGTGAGTTCAAGACCAGCCTGAACTGCATAGCGAGACTGTCTCAAAAAGACAAAAAAGAAAAAAAAGCATCTCACTATATCCCAGGCTGGCCCAAACTTGTGGTGATCCTCCTGCCTCAGCCTCTCAAGTGCTGGCATTACAGGTATGCACCACCCCACCCCGCTCACACAGGGTTGTCTTGCCTGTTTCTTTGGGTAGTTGGAAGGATTGGTTGGACGAAGTTTTGTGTATAATGACAGAATCGTATGCTGTGACAGCCAGGGACCCAGGAGGGGTATTTCGTGGGAAGGAGGGGTGTGGGGAGAGCAACCTGATGTAAACACTCAGTGGGACCTTGAAGGGGTTCCCCCCAGGGCCACCCCACCACATCCTCGAGCCCGGCCTCAGCAGGTGGGGCGTGCCTGAGGCTGCCCTGTGTGGCGAGGTGCGTGGGGTGCAGCAGAAATCCTGCCATGTACACCCCTTCTAATAACATGTGTAGGGCCTGTGCTGTGAGTAATTCTAGGCTTCTGGCTTCTTGGTTTTTTGTTTTGTTTGTTTATTTCCGGTACCGGGAATCGAACTCATGACCTTGCGCTTGCCAAGCAGGCACTGTGCCGCTGAGCTACATCCCCAGCCCCCTGCTTCTGGCTTCTTTATGTTAGATCAGTGGATATTTGGAAGTGATTTCTGTTTTGTTTTGCTGTACATAGGCCTTTGAAACCCTAAATTAGAATGAATACTTATCAACCCAGGCCAGGGCTTATTTTTATTTTTCTGAGACAAGGTCTTGCTGTAGAGTCCAGAACTTGCTGTGGTCCTCCTGCCTCATCCTCCCAAGTACTGGGAGTGCACTGCACACCTGGCTCCTTAGGTGGCCTTTTGCACTCTGAGAGGATGCACCGACCAGGAAAGACAGATTTTTAGCTCAGCTGCTTTTTTTTTTTTTTTTTTGTCTTTTTGAGACAGGGTCTTGCTATGCAGTTCAGGCTGGTCTTGAGCTCACTTTGTAGCCCAGGCTGGTCTCGAACTCCCAATGATCCTCCTGCCTCAGCCTCCTGAGTGCTGGGATTACAGGCATGTGCTACTATGGCTGGTTTTCAGTTGCATTTCTAATGCTGAATTGATAAACTTACATCTGGTCGGTACATCAGTTTCTTCTGAGTTTCACCAGTATAAGACAAAGTCCCCAAGCCTGACCAGTGATAATAATTTATCGGGCCCTCCGAAGCTGACCTTGCTCTTAGTATTTACAGGAAATAATGAGCATCGGAGCAGTGTGGTACATGGCAACTGGCTTGTAAGTGCAGGTCCAGAAAAGCTAAATGCTTGCCCATGTCCCCCAGATCCTGAGACTGAGCTGGGGCCAGACCTGGGGCCACTGGGGGCTGAAGGCTCAAGTGCCCCATGGGCACAGGGAGGCCGTGGGCCAGCTCTGCACTGGGCAACCTCGGCCTCAGGCCATGCCCCAGCTGCCCAGGGGAT